ACACTGTTTTATGGTCCCAGCAGTTTATTCCTATCTATCTAAATATGAGTTCAGTTGATTGCCATCTTGGACATGATTGTCAATCCCCTCTTGGGATCAAGGGCTGTCTGTAGACCTGTAAGCAAAGACAGAGTAGATTAATAGGCATCAGAAAAATCATGGACTAATGACTGGTCAGAAGAATCCCTTGCATGGACAAGGGGCCCATATTGATCCTCTTGATATGAAATGACAAAGTATTCTGTATAGTGGTCACTCAACCCTTGTGGAGGCTGGTCAGGCTGCCCACTTAATCATAGGTGGATTTGGGGAACACTTTATGACAGCAGTATTTGGCAACATCCAATTTATCAATTGCACGCCAGCAAATCATCAATGGGCTCACAGAAGACAGAGTTGGGTGCAATATGGGTATTGATCACCACAGTTCAATTGAGGCACTAACCACTACTGACTGCATGTTATTATGGACACAACCTGTGGTGCATTTGATGTTGGATAACAAGTTTTTGACCAACTGTGAGGGAATTCCTGTAACTCCCAGAATACCTTCTTGAAAGGGTATCATTTCTATACCAATCTTAATTTTACACATGGGCCCTTTCTTTGGTTTTGTAAAGGGTCTGCCTTTTTGCACACCAAATATTTCCCCTAGGTACACCAAAAAAGGTGTGCACTCCAAGGATTGGTGGAGTGCACCATGGTGCACTCCAGATTTTCTTGGAGTGCACACCAAAAGGGGAAAACTTGATGACTTTGGAGGAGAGGACATGGTTGTGCACTCCAAAGAATCTGGAGTGCATAGATTTGCACTCCTGTGAATATTGGAGTGCATGGGCATGTACTCCAGTGTTTTTAGGGCCCCAGTATTTACAGGTGTTCAAATCCTGCTCACTCCAGATTATTTGGAGTGCACAGAGCTTCACTCAAAATTTTTTTGGTGTGTTTCCTTGGATGCCCAGGTGGATACCACACAAGAATGGACTGACTGTCTATAACCCAGCCATTGAGGATTCCAAAAAGTAAATAAAAATTCTCTCTGTCTGTTGAGCAGGCCCTTATGGTGTTCAAAAATTGGCAAATATATCTTGTCCTGTTGAGTGCCATTAATCATTTATGATATCCTGATCAGCCCAGGGGTCCAAGAAAACACCCCAATACTTTGGAGTGAAGCTCCATGCACTCCAAATAATGTGGAGTGAGCATTAATATAAGAACCCCTAGATAGAAATCCCTTGGCAGTAAAAACACTGGAGTGCATCAAAGCTGTGCACTCCAGATTCTGTGGAGTGCACAACCATGTACCCCAAAATCATCAAGTTTTTCGACTTTTGGTGTGCACTCCAAAAGTGCACACCAGTGCATGATAGTGCACTCCAAACATTCTTGGAGTGGACACCTTTTTTGGTGTACATATGGGAAATCTTGTGTGCAAAAAGTCAGACCCTTTGTGAAGCCATGAAGAACTTAACACTCTCTTGACCTCCAACAACCCAGCATGTACCCCTCATGACAGATCACCCCATAAGCATGGGTGATAAGCGGTATTCACCCCATAAGCATGGGTGATAATCTGTATATAAAGTCACACCTTTGGTAGAAACCAATGACATGCTCCACCCAACAGCTGAACATGCACTGTTGAGTGTCATTCATCCCCAAATTGCCTTGGAGTGACAGGAAGATATCTAGGTAGCTGAATTGAGTCAAGCTGACAATGCACCACACTAAATCCAGGGATAACACTCAGACCAGATGATGATGACATATGGATTTTCCAGGATATTTGAGTTGGGTGGGTGGACTTCAACTACAATGGCTATTGTTGAACTTGCTCTGAGAACCAAGATTGTTCAAGGTTTACATGGTTTGAGCTTAATAAGCCGCAAGTGCCATAGTTAATCCCTTGGGTTCACATAAATTGTGACCACCATAACTTATCCCTGAATTCTGTTATCAATTGTAGCTCATAAGCCAGAAATAACAATACAATTTACATGGGTTATTGAGAGATGACACTGAGGGATGGGGCATTTGCCTTGATTGATACATCAAGTATTAGTGGTAACTAAATACACTAGCAGTTACCACATCCTCTATAGAATGGATAAATTATGCCTGAATTTTGTTATCTATACCTAGCTCATAAGCCAGATATAAAAATACAATTTACATGGGTTATTGAGAGGTGATACTGAGGGATAGAGCATTTGTCTTGTTTTCACCTTGATTGTTATTGGTAACTAAATACACTAACAGTAGTGCATCCATGCACAATGCTGACATGCATAATCACCCAATATGATAGGCAATTGGTAATGTTGGCCAAGAGTATAGTCACCCTTTTTTTCATAGCTTCTCAGAAGGTACACGGGGACACATTAGATTCTGATCCTCAGGGGAAATCAAAAGAAAGACTGATCAGATGATAGCAAAAGGAAAGGAAGAAATACTGCACAAAAGTCACATCACATTGGTTTATTTCACAACAGAGTGTAGAGCCTGGTTTGGATGAAACTGAAATGAATACTCCAATTATTCTTAGGTGATTTCACTGCAGGTTACTTGTAAGGATGGCTCCCACTTGTGCCTAATAGTTCCATGGTGCCTTACTGGATCTATCCTTACTTACTATTCCCTCTTTTTGCATTTGCCCAATGTTCCCCTACCCAGAACCTTATTCACAAAGCAGCTCCTGCCTCGTAAATGAGTACCCTGCTTCTTTTATTTCATATCAACCAGTTCAAGCAGACTTATGGCCCCATTTCATACCTTTCCAGTGCCATGTACGTTCTGCATTTATGTCAGAATTAGCCCCAAATTTTCACCTCACCAATTTCGGACAGTTTTTGTCCCTCTTGGTATCTGAATTGATGAGCACAATTCAGAAGGTGATGTGCAGATTGGATGGGTCTTTTTGGGATTCTGTTTGATTCCAGGGGGTAAACAAAGAAAGAACACCATCTTTCATCCACCTATGGGGCCTACTAACCCCTCTCCTGTAGGTGGCATGGGACAGTGCAGCCTAGTCCGCCTATGGTACCCCTCTAGCACTAAAACTCTCAAAGCCTTCAGAGCTTTCAGAAACATTCAAGCTTTGAAGATTAGTCCCCCAAAAATTTATACAAGTCCCAAAACCCGAGGGGACATGCCCCTCTCACCGAAATTTCCCCTCAGTACCCTCTAATTGCTAGGTCATACCCCCCCCCCTCGGCGCCCAAATACCATACATCAAGACCATGCCCCCCCTTTTTGACCAATCGCACCGCATCACACCACACTCACTCCGTCAGCATCACTCACATCACCGGCCAGCATTACCCACCAGTCCAGCCATCAGGTGAACACTTAAAATAATGAAGCAGATTTTTTTTTCTTTTTTTTGGGTTTTTCATGGTTAGGATAAGTGAACAAAAAATTAAGAAGGTGAAGAAGAAGAGGTCAACAACAGAAAAGAAAAGGAAAAAAAGGATCATTAAGGAAGCTGTATAGAGGAGGATGAATTTGTATATACATGGATGATAGTGTCTTTCAGGCCAAGTAGCTCGATATTTACAGGATGGACAGACAAGATGACTCAAACACAGGGCAGGAGCTGGATGCAACTATACCATTTGAAGTATGTACACGGTAGGAAGCCAGACGGCAGAAGTCAAAGAATGAGATGTTGATGGGAGGCGTTCAGGAGTGACAGCTCACAGACAGTCATCAACGGACAGTGAGGGGATTAAGGTTTTATTTTGTTCAGGACAGATTGTGAGGAGGGATGTGAAGGTTATCGGTGTGACGTTTGTTGAGGAGCGGAGGGAGTCTGAATTCGGAGCTCGAAGGCAAAGCCGAGTTGGTGGGCGAGTTGTGCCGCTTGATGGCGACTACTCGGAGAGCCACCGGTCGTGGGAACGAGCCTGGGCCGGGCCGGACGGGATTCGGCAAGGGCGGCAGACAGCGGCTCAAGAAAAGCGATCTTGAGGTGGCCTCCTCTAACCTGGGATGGCTGCATTTAAGAGCATACTCACTCTACGTGGCTGCCATGGCGCTCGGTTCCGGACAGATTGATCCCGGCTTGGCGGAGAGCTTGAGCGTGAAGATGAGTTAGATTCAAGAGGCGACCTCTGATTGGGTGAAACATCGACAAGGGGACTCGAAGCTGGGGGTTCAATGAGCTGTGGTGTGGGATTCTCATCGGTCGGCAGCGACGCTCCAGTCAAGGAATAACTCTTCAGATTGACGGCTGCATCAGGATGGGGTTGATCCAGTCTCATTGGACCAATATTCAGGCAGTCGGATTGTGGACGCTGGGAAGTAAGCTGCGAGTTGTTCAGGCGGGATCTAACTGTCGCATGTGAGCTCCACCGAGGGCGTGGAGGATGATGGACTGTCAACTGATCGGGGAGGATTGATGATTTCGGCCGAGGATTGGTGCTTGAACGGCGCGGTGATGGAGGATCGGCGGGATGGCCATGGAAGGAGCCATCTGGCGCGCGCCGGGGCAGCCATTTACGGGAGTAGGGAGAGCCAGGGGTGCGGGGGTTGTTCCGCCGATGTGAGAAGTCGAATGAAAAGAAAAGGTGCCCGGTTCGAACACCGGTGTCAAAAACGATATGAAAGAAATATGTACAGTCCGGGTCGATCACCGGAGTCGCAGTAGTGATTGTGTTAGAGCAAGACAGAAAAATAAATCAAGATTGAGCCGTTCAGTAGGCTCGATCCACCGCCAGCGTTGAAAGGGAGCTGTCGCTGAACGTTGAGAAAGGTGACGAGATGTCGTTTTGAGACTGTCAACCAGTCGTCAAGAGGCCACTGATGATTCGAATCCAATAACGATATGGCCATCCTTGTTGCAACACCAAATTCATATGCTGGCCGAGGTTGTTTATACAAAAAAGCAAGCATCAGATTAGAGGGATCCCCACGGGAGAACAATTGAAAGGTTTTGGAAAGAGAGGGGACAGACCGAAGCTCTGATCAGAGATCGACAGGTTCCATAAATTGATACGTACATCATCGGCGCTCAGATACGTTTTTCTATACGGATTGATGCCGATCGAGTTGATACGATCGGTGTGCGCGGGACGCCGGCGATGATGGTGTCGTGGAAGGCCATCCGGGGCAGCTTGAAGGTCGGCACCGGTTGCGGCTGAAAGCCCTGTTTAAGTTTTTGAATGAATGTGAGTGAGTGAGTGACATAAGTGATAAAAAGAAGGGGGACGTCTAACTTGGTTATGTTCGAAGAGGCCGACTTTTCCACCTGAATCTCTAGAGTCTCCGAATTTCTGGAAATTCTGGCAGACTTGCCAGCTTTCAAAGCAGCGAAGTCCACCCATCCCCGCACCCAGCCTCCAGAGCGCATGCACCGCACGCGAGTACATCACCACCATAATCAAGCAACTGCTCATCGGTCACTCTGATCTCATCCTAGTCCAATCAATTGCTCACCCGGTCACTCCGATCTCAATTTACACCAACTGAACCATCAAAGCGTTATTGAAGACTACAAAGAAACCTGACCAATACTCAATTGCATAGGTAGGTACTCGAGTTGTATCCAAACCATTTTCCTATTCGTCAACAACTAACTTGTCTGTCTGGCTTATGTTTCTCATCAAACACCTGTGCCTCCACCGCAGTCCAAACATTGCAAGAAACGGCGACTTGGCGACCAACCGTTTTAATCTCAAACAAGAAATACATTGCAGTTCAGTGGTTAAACGTTGGTCAAATTGCTAGACATCCCAACCCGCATCTCGCTTTAGAAGAAAGCCATCGACGTGTTGTTTATTTATAGGACCTGTTGTCGCTTGGCCTGTCCAGCTTTTAGCCAACATCGATCATGTCAGCTATTATCCAACGTCAAATCAGCGATCAAACTGCCTTAGCTAACAACATCTCATTCTGTTTATTCTTTGTTTTAGTTCGACCAAAGCCCTTGTTCGTCAATCCGCATAAGCCCTGTCCCAATTCTCCAGGATTGTTCCGATTTCATTTTCAGGCTCGCTTAAACTTGTTCAAGCCTCTCCTCAATTGGGAAACGGAACCTATCATCGCTGGATTAGGAGCTCTGCTCACAACCTATCTGTTCCTTCATACACACTCAACTTCTGGATTAAACGATCTCGTCCTTGTCCGACCACTTATTTATCAAACCCTCAACTTCATTTCAGGTCTGTTTTGACATTTAAAATCCTTTGTGGAACCAAACCAAACCCGAATGAGTTGCTAATGGCATGATTGCATTTAATTTAGCCTTATCCTTTGCTTCTCACTAAGAGAAAAAAAAACCTAGATCGTTTGGACCCATTGTAGCCAAGGGACATATCTCGCCATTCCAAGGTCTGTCCTTCAGGTTTTCCCCAACTCCTCCTCTACTCTCAACATCCCCATGTTGGTTTTTCAAAACAACTGCACAATCCAAGAAAAGACAACGCAAATTGGACTGCTGATCATTTGGCGTGTTGTTATTGTTGATCAGGCACCTTCTTCATCTTCTCCTCTTCATATTCGGAAGTCCCAGCCATGGTCAGAAAGAAACAAAAGTGAGTGCCCTATACATTGGCCCTAAGTGAAATGGAGTCCCATGATTGGTTGCTTGCGCTGTGGGATCGTGTGTGTGGGCGGAAAAGCCGCTCCCTTTCCCATTGTGGGGCCAATTATCTCCTGACGGAATAGTAGGAGAGGTTGGCCCCTGCTTGCAACCTGATTGGTGATGTCCAGGACCAGCCAAATCTGATTTGGATGATATTTTAGGACCGCGCATGGCCCTGCCAAGCCACCTGAAGGGGGTGCCAGGGGCTCCTCGTATAATGACACCAATGCACTACTTGAAATGATGTGCAAAAGGCTAATGAAGCAGAGGGCTGTTGCCCAGGTTGTGTCTGTTGATTTTGACCTCTTGGCTGTTTTCCTAATGCAGGAGTTCCAAGAGATGGACATCCAAGTGATAGTGGAGGAGGTCCTACGGGTCTTTTCCCAACATGCGCCGCAAACAATGCTCCAAAATCAGGTTTTCGATGCTGCCAAAGAGGTTGATCAAACCATACGTTGTGGAACTGCTCAGCTAATGAGTGAAGAGCTTGGAGGGGATAAATATTAATAAAACTATAAAATAGTAATAATAATAAATGGGTGTTGGTGAGACTGCCCTCCTTGTCTAGCTTGTGAGAGAGTTACACTAAGAAAAATAATAGTGTGGTAGATTTCTAAATTTATCTTAGTGAAGATACTACCTGTTGAGGATTTTGAGTTGTTTATAAGGGTGAATGGAATGGATGGTCAAGAGCTTCTGGAGTTAGGAGATATCTGTGGGTTTCTGGTTTATTCTGGTTTAATCTATTCTTTCTGGGTTCTCTGGTTCAATTCTGGGTCTTTAATAAAGTGAGTCTTTATTTCTTCAATATCTTCTGTTGAGAGTTTGAGAGAGTTAAATAATTTCCTTATTATTTAACAGGGATCAATAAAGGGATGAGGAGTAAGGGTTTAGTAAATTCTCTTATTACTATTCTGTATCTGAAATATAAGGGTTGATGAAAGCTAAGTAATATCTCTAATTACTATTCTGTAGCTAGCATGTAAGGGGGTTGATGAATGCTAAATAAGATCTCTACTTATTTCTCTGATGCAGACATGGGGAAGAAGGAAGGATAACATGAGCCAGAAAGGGCCTCTATTTATAGACAAAATCTTTGGTGGGGATGGTAAACAGCTTCACTGATGAGTTTCCTTGGTCTGACTGGGTAATGACCTCATACTGCTAATTTAATGATGTCATGATGATGTCATGCTATGAAATTAATGATTTACAGCTGTGAAATTAATGATGTGCAGCTGTGGAATTAATGATGTACTGTTGTGAAATCAATATTCTACTGCTATGTTGGTCAATGATGTCATCTGTGTGATTAATGATCCTTATGTTGTGAAATAATGATGAGTGGCTGTGTAATTAATTAAATGGCTGTGTAATTAGTTATTAATGATCTGCTTAATTAACTAATAAGATCTGCTGAATCATTTTATGATTTAATATTATATTATTCTATTCCTTCTGAATGGTTTTCAGCTTTATAACATTATATTATTTCTAATTCCTTGTTGACCATTCTTGTTATGTTGTAAGATCTGTTTTGTAATTATATATATATACCTTTTAATCTTCCTTGTATGTTTTATACCTTTAGTCTGTGAAGTGTAATTATATATGAAATAAAATATCAAGAAAATTAACTATGAATTGAGAATAAAAGGCTTTATCATGACTATTTGATTTTATTACCTGATTTCTTGAGTTTATATTTAATATTTTAGTCTTTTAAATATGTCTTTTAATGTTTTATGGGTTTGATTGGTCTTACCACATCCTCCCCCAACTTATTTGTCTGCCCTCAGACAATTTCTTTTTAAATAAATACTACATAAATTCTATAATGTGGCTTGAAGATGTACCAGAATAAAATATACCTAAAAAGTAAGATTTGTCATATGACAGTTTTCCCAGGAAGAATTCTGAATCCAATTGACCGGTATCATGATTCAGGATGTGTCTTGAGTTGATTATCTTGATTTATAAATCTTCAGGTCTTGAGTTTTAATCTTGAGGGCAATCTTCTGATGAAATCTTGAGTGAGGAGTTTCTAATAATGAAATTTCTCATAATTTAGTTTCTAGATGAATTTCCTATTCATATCTTTCTATTTTAATAATCAAAATCTGTTCTAGCCCTCTGACTAAACAGTCCTAATCTTTATCTATATCAATTCATATTTCTATAATTCATCTTTAACTAAATTATGTAATTTCTTTTTATTTAATTCTTCCTTCTCAAAGATATTCTTCTTTCAATTTTTCTCATAGCTTAATTCTCTTTTGCTGAAATTTTGTTTCTCTTGATAATCTTCTCTTTCTTCATTCTGTATCTTCTACTCAATCAAATTTTGTCATCCTATCTTTCTGTTCTGACTTTCTTCTTCTGACATTCGTTCATGCAGTTGTTGATGTAAAGACTTAAAAATTGCTGAAGTTCACTTGTTCAAAAGAGTGGAGCCGGTAGCTTTTTAGGACATCGCCGCTTTGGTCCAACATTTCAAATGATACATCCGTTTTTCTTTAGTGATCCTGAATTCTTGGTTCATATAGCAACCAATCCAACGATAGTCCAACAGGCACTGTCCTTTGCAAACTTCTTGAATATGTTATCCATCCGTTGATTGGCTGATGTCTAGAAATCCTGGATGTTGCAAACCCGATCTAATGATCATGAGATCCATCAGGAATAAGCAGTCGCGACTAGCATGTAGAGTGTTTTAAATGTATAACTAAAGATTTCTTGCGCCATCGTTGAATCAAATGACCATGTAGACTTTTTAAGAATATTGGTAGATCAATCTCGCTGAGTTTCTCAGTGTAAAAGCGTCTTAAGATTATCGACGACTCGCTTTCAAGGACATCGACATACTGGTTCCTCGTTTCAATCGAATTTATCCATCCCGCCAGCGAAGTTAAAATATAAAGGAAGATGGTGTTTGTTGGCTTGCAGAGACCTCAAGTCTTAATCCAACCGTATAAATTCCAAGAAGATAAGGATCTGAACGAGTGGGTAGTATTCTTTTAAGGACATCAACTCATCGGTCCCATTATGTATTTCAGAGTAAAATGAGTTTCATGATCTTCGATGACTCTCTTTCAAGGAATTCGACAGTTCGGACTCTCTCGATCAAGTTTTTGGGCAGTGAAAAAGCCCTGTTGACCTTTGAATCCTGTTTAACGACATAAGTTTTCAGTTTGATGTTGAATTTTTGAGAAGAATTCGGTTTTCAAATCTTCGCTGAATCGATCAACTTGTTTGAAATCCAAGGAACGCCAGCTTATGGCAGCTTAAGTTTCTTTATTCCATGATCGATTCTTCATCTGGAAAGCATAGATTCTGGGAAACAAAGACTCAGGTCATTAGAGTTTCGGTAGGGAAGCGTAGGTCTTTTGTGTCTTGATCCAGCGATTCAAAATCCAAGAGAAACCAAGAGTTTAAACGAAAGTAGTTGCGAGGTATTCAGGACATTGACTAATTGTTCCAACTGGATGGAGTCCAAGGAACCTAAAGTCTAAACGAGTGTTGTTGCATGCTTTTAAGGACATCGGCAGGTCGGTCCTATTCGGTCAAGAAGAAAAGTCGAAGCTGTTTTACTGTCGTTTACCAACTTCAATGTCTCGATCCAGCGATGTCAAATCCAAGAAAACCAACGGCTTTAAACGGTGGTAGTTACAAGCTTTTAGGAACATCTGTAAATCGGTCGAGGGCCATAAATCGATCCACTTGTTCAAAAACCAAGGGATCCAATGATCTCAAGTGATGGTAGCTCTTTCTAGATCTGCTGATTCTTCAAGCCCGACTTGAGAAGGTGAATGATTCTATTGACCACTTGAGAAGGTGAATAGGTCTGTTGACCACTTCAGAAGGTGAATTGTTCTGTTGACCACTAAAGAGGGTGA